CAATGTGGGAATCGACGGTCCATTTACCGACGCAGATTAAAACAAATGGAGGCACAAATCCATACAACAAGACAAACCAACAGGCAGATTTCAGACTTATCCGTCCAAAGACCACGGCGGGTTTATCGGATCGCTACAAGAACAACTCGCCAAAACAAGAAGAAAGAAGGAAGAAAGAAAAGGCTACCTCATAAAGGAACAAGAGAACCCGTTATTTGAGAAAGAACCGGTAATCTCATGGATAATGGGGATCATAGCAGAAAAGTAAGAGACAACTCGAGACAAGATTAGTTACATTACAAGCGAAGATTACAAATCTTAAAGACAAGATTCGTTACATTACAAAGCGACTTCAAAAATAGAAGATTACAAATCTTACAAGACCCAACGAACTTCGGCACTCTGGCGAGGTAGCAAAGAGGAACACACATACGGCTAGGCTCTGGAACGACTACGTGTCCCAAATTGCTACTCGGAAGGACAAACCGCCATCAGCTACGCTGTTTTCTTCAAAGGAAGGACGCAGTGCACTCAAGGCGGAAATCGGCAAAGACCTGGCGAGGCAACTTGGAGCAAAGAAGGCGGCGGGCATCTGTCTACCCAAGACCGATGTGATATCACATATGGTGTTGATCTGCACCGACGGTCTCAAGACAAAGCGACGAGATCAACCCGGAACTGCCAGATGAAGAAACGAAGCCCGCATCACAAGACTTCCTCCAGCTACAATAAAACACACAGGAACTACAAAATATGCCCGGGGGTTGCTCTACTTCACAAACTACCATGCTCATATCCACGAAGGTTTCAACGGAATATCCAATAGATGAAAACTAGCACTCCGGGATGTATTTATAGACCAAAGGAGCGCGCGCACATGGACCAGAGAGCACCGATGAAATAAGCGACAAAGAACACAAAGAAAGGACGGGACTCAATAATGGACGACTTCGAGTGAGAGAAAAGCAGTGCTCGAAGACGAGCATATTCGGAAGGATATACCATCACAAAGACAACCCGTGAACAAAAAGCATTTACACTCAACCACCACCATACAACTACATATGACAAAGCAGAGACTATCAAAGAATACGCCAAGACCTCGTGATCCGAGTTCTTCTGAACAAAACAAAGACGGGTATACGCTCGGGGCTCGGCTAGCATCACAGATTAATCAACACTAAGCCGAGGAATCCGGCACTCATTTCAACTACTCCCGGGCTCGTAACCAAAGACAAAAGACAAAAAGTACAAGAAACTCAAGACTACAACGAGCGACAACGCATCAAGACTCTTCAACCGACTTCTTTTTCAAAAGAAAATAACTCGGAGAAAGCACGAGGCTGCGGGATACATAGCCCTAGAATTTTTTGAAGATAGGAATCTGGACCCTCCAACTTTTGCAAGCAAAAGCAAGAGGCTTGGGGGCTACACTCAGTGAGTGCAATTTTATAAAAAATTGCACCCACCCAAAAAGAACCCTTACATAGGCTCGGAGGGTTGCACCACGAAACTACTCGGATGATGGTTTAATCCAATACTAAAGGACCGCTTGGAAAGATACCACGAAACTACTCGGATGATGGCTTAATCCAGGACTAAAGAACCGCTTGGAAAGATACCACAAAAACTACTCGGATGAGGACAAGATTCAAATCTCGTGGGATTACTTGAGCACGGATTTTCAAACAAACATAAAGGATCAAGACCCTCCAACTTTTTGTTCCAAATAGCAAGAGGCTCGGGGCTACACTCGGTGAGTGCACTTTTTCTCCAAAAAGCGCGCGCCATCAAAAAACTTCCTCAACGCAGACTACTTCAAGACATTATGACAAAAAGAACCCGAACGAGCCATATTCGAGTTCTTTTTGACAAAACTTCAACGAACAATCGAGCAACTTCAAGACAAGATCCTCCAGCTCCTTGTTCCAAATAGCAAGAGGCTCGGGGCTACAACCAGATGGATGTACTTTTTCTTCACAAAACACTCACCACTCGAGGGTCCCAAGAAGCGCTACAAGGTTTCACTCTAGAAAGCACTCGGATAACATTTTGTTCCAACCTAACAAGACTTGAAGGAGCAAAGCGAGACTTTCGTAGCTCAACCATGAAGTGCTCGGGGGCTTGTCGATCTGGGACCCACAGATACCCCGCAAGAGAGAGAGAAGATCTAGTTCAACTAGGGTTCTTCCCATGTAATCTTAGTAATAGAACTATTAAGTAATCCTACTAGGAAATCTCATTGTAAACCGATTAGAACTCCGGCCTCCTGAATATATAAAGGAGGCCAGGGCTCCTAAAGAAGGGGACAATTGGTACGACATAACACTTCATAATCAATACAATGCAAGGGCTAACGCCGACTGGACGTAGGGTCGTTACTCGATCTACGATCGAGGGCCTGAACCAGGATAAATCGACTGTCTCTTGCGTTCACCATCGAGTTCAGCATACGCCGAAACCCGAACGATACTGCCACGGTACCCCCGTGGTAGGCTATCGGTGGTAAAACATCGACATATGGCATAGGAGGCTGCAGACACAGTCATTGATGGTGCGAATGATGCGCTCCGCCTTGCCGTTTTGGGATGACGTATATGGGCAAGAAAGACGAAGAACAGCACCGTGAGCAGCAAGGTGGGAGCGCATTGCAGCATTGTCAAACTCGCGCCCATTGTCAGTTTGAACAGCAAGTAGAGGCATTTGAAACTGAGTCGTAACATATGAGTGGAAAGCGGTGATGCAATTATAGACTTCAGATTTTGCTCGCAAGGAAAGGTCCACACATAATGAGAGTAATCATCAATCAACACTAGGTAATATTTGAAACCGGAAAAAACTAGGACAAAGGGATGTCCAAACATCAAGCATGAACAATCTGGAATGGAACATATGTGGTGAATTGGAAGAGGAAAATGGCGGCCGAACGTGTTTGCCTAGTGGCGGGCTTCACACGTGTTATTGAAGGATCTGGTGAATCAAGGTCGAGGTTGGCCAAAGTCTTGTGAAATTGATGACGCCGGGATGTCCTAAGCGCTGGTGCCACAGTTCCATAGTCGGTGCAGTGGTGACCAGAGCCTGGGGGTAAGGGGACGCCAAGGGATAGAGCTCTCCATTGCTGTTACATCGGAGAATCTCCGCCCGCGTTGGAAGATCCTTGACAGAGAAACCAAACGGATCAAATTCAACAGACACATTGTTATCACGAGTCAGTGAACGGACAGATATGAGGTTCTTGACAAGAGATGGCGACACCAGAATATTATCAAGGTAAAGGGGTGCTCGTGTTGTGGCAATCTGGGCACGCGCGCAGTGAGTGACCGGGAGCGTGGCACCATTGCCAACGATGATCGGTGTGGGAGTATGAACTGGCTGAAGAGCGGAGAGGTTACCAACGTTGGAAGACATGTGTGATGAGGCACCGGTGTCGAAGTACCATTCGGCGCTCTGTGGTCCGGATGGCGGAACGCCGGAGTTCACCAGCGCAGCGAGCATGGCCTGGTGGTTCCAGACGTCATTTTGATTGGGTGGAGCAGTGCCGTTGAACACCGGAGAAGCAGCGTGGAGCGCCTGGGTGGCCTGCGTGCCTGGCCGCGGTCCGAGCACGCCCGACGCTAGAACACGGAAGGGCATTTGCCAGGCCTGAACCATGCCCGTCCAGGGGTTCGGGCCAGGCTGACCGGGCTGCCAGGCGTGAGGTCGCGGTCCGGGAGGTCCACCACGACCATGCCCGCGTCTGCGGCCACCGCGATTGTAGTCTCCGCGGTTCGGCGCGCCGTTGCCCTGGCGCGGACCGCCAGTCGAACCGGAGGCCCCGGAGTTGCCGTCGCCCGAGGAGGGAGCCACGGGCCGAGACACAGTGTTCGTGGCACCGCCGTTGCTGGATCCGCCGGCTCCAGAGCCTGCGCTGGCCATGAGTGCGTGCTGGGCAGCAGACTTCGCGTGCTCCGCATCGTACTGTTCCTCCAACAGCAGATAGGAGCGTGCGGAGAGGAAAGTGTGCGGCGGCTGCCGGGCGGTGATGACCGGAACGGCATGGCGGTACTTGGTGGAGAGGCCGCGTAACATGTTCAGGACCTGGGACGTCTCGCGCACCGGCTGGCCGACATCCCGAAGAGCGTCGGCGAGCTGCTTCAGTTTGCCGGTGTACGCCGTGATGTCCATGTCGCCTTGCACGATGGAGCGGAATTTAGCCTCGAGGTAGACGGCGCGGTGGAGTTCGTTGTCGCGAAACTGGGCGTGGATCGCGCGCCAGATGGCATACGCCGTCGCCCGCGGAACGCGCACTATCACGCGGACATCCTTCGAGATCGTGTTGTAGATCCAGCTGAGGATGCATTGATCGAGCATGGCCCAATCGGGATCACGACGATTTTCAGAAGTGGGTGATGTGGAGAGGTGGTTGGTGAGGCCGAATTTCCCGACGACGGCATCGAAGAAGCACCGCCACTCGGCATAGTTGGACTCTTGGAGATCGAGTTCGACCAGAACGTGGTGACGAATGTTCACGGTCTGGAGAACGGTGACTGGGGGAGTGGGGAGCACGATCGCGTCGGTGAAGGAGGCACCGTCGTCGGCGGCAGAATCAGACGAGGACTGGGAGTGATCCTCGACGTCACCGTCGAACAAGGGATGGAGATCCATAGTGGAGAGGGTTGGCAGCGGAAGAAGGGAGACGCCGGCGGCTGGAGCGTGAGGACTGCGACAGCGGCGGCGGTTGGCAAGAAGAAGAAACCTAGACAGCTGATACCATGTAGACAAGAAGAATACGAGCCAACAACAACTACAATGGCCTGTGCGGCTCATATATACGGATTACAGGGGTGAAGGAGCGGCTCACCACGCAGGGCGCCGCACCCTTCTCGGCATGGTGACCACGATCACCAACAGCCATGCACAATCGTGCCGTTACAATAGCAAGACCAGGTCTATCCTAAACAGACTCGTCAACAACGCGCACGTTCTGGGAGTCGAGCGCGAGCCTGGCGGAGATGCGCACGCTAGCGTTCTTGTCGGCGTCCAACCAGGCGATCTCGTTGCAGAGCACGGCAGCGAACATCTTCTCGCGACTCGCGCACACACTTGGTGAGGTTCTCGCCGACCGTGTCCCAGAACACCTGCTGCACCGTGTTGAACAGCAGCACCGCAGAGGACATGCCGATGAGCAGGTAGCAGTACTTGGTGATCTCACGCTTCATGTAGCGAGGGTCCGGCGCGTAGTAGACGCTGAGCACGGCGCTGAGGATGTAGGCGAAAATGGCGCTGAAGGAGCCGCAGACCATGGAGCCGAGGGAGCCGACGAGCGCGTAGGCCCACTCGAGCGAGTTCATCCTGGCGAGGCGCCGGCGCCGGCGCGGAAGGCGAGCTACTTGTCGGGTATGGTCCGGTGGTGGTGGTGCGCCTGATCATGAAGCGGTCCAGGTCCAACGCCTCCTGCACGAGCTTCTCCGACTCAGAGTCAAGCGTGCTGGTGGCCTCGTCCAGTAGCAGGATGGCAGGGTTCTTGAGCATGGCGCGGGCGATGGCGATGCACTGCTTCTGGCCGGTGGAACCTGCTGCTGGACGCGTGCTCCTGTTCTGGCGCGAGCTTCCCCGACTCGGCAAGGACGCATGCTGCTGGAGACGTGCTTTTGGCCGCGGGAACCTCCTGCTGCCAGCGCTGGTGCAGTGGTTCTACGAGCCCACGTGCTGGCGTGTGCTCCTGGATGGCAAGGACGTGCGCAAGCACAACCTGCGGGCGCTGCGGCGCATGGTGGCGGTGGTGTCGCCGGAGCTGTTCCTGTTTGCGGTGAGCATCAACGAGAACATTGCGATCTTTCAGTTCATGGCGAGTTCCGTCACTTATGTCACTTCATTTTAACAGAATGCTACTTTCAGTTCACGGTCCAATCTTTCAATGGTATTTTATGGAGGAGCAAACTTTCAGTAGCATTTTACGAAGATCGCGATCTTTCGATGTTTCCAACCAATTTCCCCAAAAGTTATATATATATAGTAATCCCCAACCTAGATAGATCCCAAGTTCATAGCCATTATGTGCGATGTCAAAAACTCCTTTCTCTTTCAAGTATACTCTGATACTCACAGGTTTTGAAATGAGACAGCTCATGTAATGGCTAGACTCGCTGATAGGCTCCTAATTCAAGTATACTGCTGCCTAAAAGAAACCCACGAAGACACAAAATCGATGGCGATGCCCCAAGCTAGAATATGTACTAAACAGTGTTTTAAGAGGGGCAAAATGAGAGAGCCTTATATGTAGGGTCGAACCGTCGAAGGCGTACAGTCGCAGCGTGTGACCTCAGTTGCCACTTGCCATTTCCACTGAGTTGAGCTTTGATGAGATCCAACGTACACAAATGGTGGAACATAACTAGACAAGGCATCAACGCAAGAGGACAAAACAAGCTAAGGCCCGTACGTCGCGACGTACAGCGCAGAGAGGATCGGACATGCCGGCGTCCCTCGCGCGCGCACACACGGGCCTGCAATGCATGCACATGCACTGCTACTATATGTCTGTCTCCCGGCCCTCCGGCCGCGTCGTCGGCGTCGCCCTGGACCACCACCGTACCGCCTCCCGCCCCGGCCCGCGGATCGTGTCGGGCACCGCCCCGGCCACGCGTGCAAAAACTGGACGGACGCGCCGACGCGCTCGTGCATGCCCCGTGCCCCCGGCCCGGCCGCCGGCGCCGGGGGATCGGAGCTGAGCGACGACACCGCGCGCGCAAGCGCACACACACATGCCTGCTGCCTGCGAATATATCGCGATGCCTGCCTCGATCGGCGGCCATGGCCGGCCACCCGGCACGGCCTGCATGCATGTCTTGCTGGTGCCGTGCCTTGCAGCCTGCAGGCTGCTTGTGTACATGATGCATGCATGCAAACGTTGGTACGCGCCACACACAGCTAGCAGCGATGATATTCCCGTGCTCCTTGCTCGGTTGTGTCACCCCTCAGACCAAACACTTCAATAGTTTCTCCTTTCCTGATTTCAAGTGTTTGATTGACAGGCATAAGCGTACGTCTCTCGTCTACGAGTACCTCACAACGTGTACTAAGTGATAGTGCTACTTCGCCCTCGAGATTTGGACTGGTTAATTATTGCTCGCTAATGATGTGATTAGTTATAAATAGATTGATAGAGTTGTCCTAAGTCAAACTTTTTAATCTTTGATCGTATTTCTTGAAAAAAAAAACTTTAAGTTATGGTATTAAATTAGTATCATTAGATTTTTCCATAAAATATACTTTCATAAGGTGCTCATTTTATATGACATAGATGTTTTTACTCTTTTCTATAAAGTTAATCAAACTTGAAAAAGTTTGACTAACACGGATTATAGGAATTGATTTAATTGAGGATGGAGGGAGTACAATTAATTACCTTTTTAAAGTAATGGTTAATTAAGTACTAGCTAATAGGGCTAGTAGTAGCTAGCTGGTCACACAAATTTCTTTTTTAGAAGTACACTTGTCACACAACCGCAGAAGCTGTATATAGTGTGTATAGCATAGCAAACACAATTTTTTTTTCTCTTAGAGTATCTCCGAGAGACATTCTAAGTTTCATGTTCCATATCTTCATTTAGCTATCCACTTCATAAAAATTCTTTCTCCATAATCCAACATATTCCAACAGACTAGCTATGTCTCTAAAAGAAAGTAATGTAATTTGGTTCAATGCAAACATAGCACTGCTATCAGCCTCACATGTACCAAGATAGCAAGGTATGCCGGCTAGCCAAATTTAGCTCCCGAGGCTCACCGGATAGCATGTCAAATATGATAGCAATCGCATTGGCTAGTATGTTGGAGGCCAATTTTCTAGAGTTTTAGCTAAAAATGGTAATAACAAGTTAGATAACAATTCGCTTGGACATGCTTTTGGATGAAGGAGATAAAGAACGGAGGGAGTAGCACTTAACAACTGCCGACAAAACATGACGCTCCATGGCTTGCACACAACATCACATAGATCGTTGATAGAACCAAAAAGCTCTCCATTCTGCCAGCCGTCGTCCAACAAACGAGCTACAGTAGACCAGCCTCTATGATCCTTAGGGTAGGACTGGGAGTTAGGCTCTGTTTACCCGTGCAGGTGCACAAGCGGATGGAGCTTAGGAGGCATGCTTGCCTAAACCCTTTGTGCGTGCAAGGAACTCTAGGCCCATACGTTTTACCCATTTGCCCCTTCTGCGTCCACCCATTTACCGTTATGCCCTTGCCGACTGTTGCTGTGACTATGTGACCATTAGTGTCAGGCCCAAGCGATTTATCCATTAGCCCTGCGCCCACCCATTTACTGTTATGCCCATGCTAACCATTGCCTTGACTATGTGACCATTGTGCTGAGCTCTAAAAGGTGGTCCAACACATCATGTCCGGCCAAGGCCAAGGCCAAGGGCGTGGCTCATCATGATGACATGCCCATGTGGCCCCCAACTCTCCTCAACTTATTTATAAGACCACATAGTAGCTTCTTATTTAAGTTGATCACCTTCCTAGTGAGTGTACCATTTGGTACTAATCCCACTCCCACTTAGCACTAACCGTGGGCCTTTGGAATTCTTTGATTATTTGCTAGATTATTTATGGACCTAGCCCATAACAATCCTTAAGGAGTCTATAGGACTCAAAGTGAGGCTATGTTTAGTAGCTCCTACATATGATCCTTATGGAGTCTAGGACTGGTAGTGAGGCTCTCTTTAGCAGCCCCCTATATACGATCCTTAGGGAGTCTAGGACTGGATCGAGGCTCCATTTAGCTTGCTGAACACTAGTTCGGATGCAGTGACAAGCTTCAAAAGGTAAAGCTCATTGGGTTGCATCATATACAAAAAATAAACATTAGAAAATCAATTTAATAAATTGTTGTTCATTTTCACATCCCAAGAATGGTTTATAGAGTGTGCATTGCCACCGGTAATGGATCATTTTTTCAGAGAGCTGACCTGAAGGATTTCTTTGCAAGTATCTTCACCGTTGTACCAACAGGCATAGCTCAACGCGTACATCAAAGTATATTTCCTCAGCCCCCAAGGCAATTCCAGATTATTATGGTAGTGTATGGCAGCTGCATTTTTTGTTATGGTAAGTGTTGGGGTAAGGCATATACTAGAGACCCTATTAGAGTGTTTAGGATCCAATTACAAAAAGCCTACAACTTCTTTAAAAGTGCTCAAAGTCTATTTGTAACTTCTAGGTGTGGCAGAACCGTCCGATTTAGCACATTTTCGGAGACGCTCGGCTTCCACTAGATACTAAGCACCTCGAAAGTGAGCTACATCGGACCGTTCTGTCGAGCCCACGTCAAGGAAGAACTCAAAACAATCCACGTTTTACCACCAGATCCAATAATGAGTACGACTTTACAATACTTAGTCCATTTCATACAACAAAGAGTTTTTAGAAATTATTTATTACAATACCAGAGTTCAGAGTGCAATAATTAAATAACAGAATTAAAATGAACATCCAGCAGAATCGATACAAGGATCCGTCTGTGCCCACTAGAAGAATCCTCCACACAAGAGCTACTCCTCAAGCTGCACCTGCAACAGGGGTAAAATAAACCCTGAGTACCCAATGTACTCGTAAGACTTACCCGACTCGAGGGAATAGTTTCCTGACTCCAAAGGGTATGATAGGCAATATGGTTTGCTGTTTTATTTTTGGTTTGCGAAAAACGTTACTAATAGTAAGTCCTTAAGTCAAGTTTTATTGGCAGTCACGATTACTTTATTAGCTAAACACTCTAGGTAAGCACCTGTTCTACTTTCTAAGCAAGGGTTGAGCAATCAGAATCATTTCACCATCTTTCATCATCCAGTTCTTACTACGGTGCTAGACCATAGCCAAGTCGTACCTTCTCACGGAAACGGTGATTCACGAACCAATGTATCCCAGCTGGGTACCCCGAAACATATGCCTCTCTTGTACCCCAAGCACAAACGAGACCAACCCATTCCACTCCTGAGGAGGAGGTCCCTGAGCCACCGTCAAACTTGGACTCAAGCCCCCAAGGCAAGCCCCGATGTCAACGTGGTGCTATAATTCTTCACCTTTCCCGCCTCTGCATTTACGTCGGAATTTTATGGAACCCACGACAAGGCGTATACCTGCCTTCCCGCTCCCTAAGCAGTTTGAGTATGTGCTATGCTTAGGATAATAAGTATGAGTAACCCGACTACCATCCAATAGGGGATTATTATTACTCATAATAAAATGATGAAAATGAGACCGGCAGGATATGGCATAGCATTGTGTAACAAGTTGTGTCCCATTGGCCAACGGGACACAACTTGTTACATCACTAATATCCCATTCA